TCTCTTCACTTCTCTTCACTTCACTTCACTTCACTTCACTTCACTTCACTTCACTTCACTTCACTTCACTTCACTTCACTTCACTTCTCCTTGCAACAAATTAGCCAAAACACTTTTGAGAAACCTTCACGGCCCTTCTTGAAGCCATGCAAAAACCCGGACGCCGCCGTATTCAAACCCGCACGACCCAACCCAGGCAGACCCAACATAAAAACATCGCGATAGTCGGGACTCCTAACAAGGGCCTGGGACTTGCTTTCGTTTTTTTTTTCAAAATACGCTTGTAAGCTATGTGAAGTAGGCCGGCCTTGTGTTTGGCCTCGCGAATCGATGGCGGTACATGAAAAACTAGCACCCAGTACTTGCCGCCCAGGAACACCTTAAAACTAAAACCACCACAATGAAATCTATGACTTTACAAACCCTAAAACCGAAAATAATCTGAAGATACCATAGACAACCCAAATGCCCGACGCATTCGGACAGCTCACTCAGCAAACAAACCTAAGCTTCCTGAACACTACAGCCGTGCAAATCATACAAGAAACCTCGAGCCTGCTACAACCCCAGCCCCGAAATTGCAGGCCAGGGCACACCCCAAAACCAAAACCACCATAATGAAATCTATGACCCTACCCCCTAAATTGCAGGCCATAACCCTAAACCCTAAATTGCAGGCCAGGGCACACCGACCTTCGTCTGTCTTTGAACTTGGAAGGTGCCGTAGGAAAGTGCGAGGCAGAGGCGATCGCCTGACCCAGCGTCCTCGGAAAGGACTTTTTTTAGGGGTTTCTTTAATTAGGGTTTAGGGTTTAGGGTTTAGGGTTTAGGGCTTAGGGTTTAAAGGTCCTCGGAAAGGACTTATAGCCATAGGCCCTAAAGTAGTTCCTTGCGTCCTCGGAAAGGACATACTCAGAGACTCCAAGCAGCCGGAAGTCAGAGACCCCAATACCCCTTAATTAAGGAACATACCTTAAAGGGCTCCTTTAAGGGATCTATAAGGGATCCATAAGAGACTCCAATATCCCTTAATTAAGGAATATAGACTTTAACTTATAGTAGGATCCCTAATATGGTTTAAGGTATATGCCTTAATTAAGGGATGCTGGAGTCTCTGGG